CCAATGTATTAAAATTACAACATTTATTTACTTCACCAACCTCACACACTTACTTCACCTACAACATCCACTTACTTCACCTACAACCTCCACTCACTTCACCTACAACCTCCACTCACTTCACCAAAAAAATGAATGGTGGTGATTCACTCTCAAAGCCTATAAATAGGCTTCTCCATCAAGAGGAATAGACACACCAAAACCTTGAAGCCTTAAAGTTCTACTCCCAAAATGGAAGAGAATACTCCCCACAGACACCAAAACCTTGAAGCCTTAAAGTTCTAAAGCTCTCAAGAAAATCCCGAAGGATCAAGAAAGCACTCTTCGTTCTTCGTCAAATCCTCCTTCAAGATCATGCCCCAACGGCCCTTGAAGAACTCCCACCAACTCAAGATCAAGCCCCGACGGCCCCTTGAAGAAAGTGTTCATCATTCATCATCCGTTCATCCTAAGATCAAGCTCCAACGGCCCTTTGGATCAACAACCTCAACAAATCCACACATCCAATCGTTCTTCAAGACTAAGCCCAAAAGCCCTTGAAGATCCGCTCATCCATCAACCTTCAAGATCAAGCCCAAAAGCCCTTGAAGAAATCCATACACCCATTCTTCAAGATCAAGCCCAACGCCCCTTGAAGATCCATTCATCAACTGTTCATCCTAAGATCAAGCCCCAACGGCCCTTTGGATCAACAACCTCAACAAACCCATACACCCATTCTTCAAGATCAAGCCTAACGCCCCTTGAAGATCTGTTCATCAACTGTTCATCCTTAGATCAAGCCCTGACGGCCCTTTGGATCAACAACTCATCCACAAACCTACACCCTACGAAGATAGAATCAGAGGACCAAATTTGAGAGAGATCGTAACCCCAAAATCATTAAACAAAAAAATATTATTTTGTACACGTATTCTCGTATTCTTGTTTCAGGAATTTTTCGTGTTTACAATAGTAATTAGTAAACTTTTATGTAAAATAGTTGTGACTGTGTAAAATGACCAAAAAATGTATAATACTAGATATGTCATTAATTTAATTTTCTTAAGTCTTCCCCCTTTATTTTCTCTATTTGCATCGAAAAGTCTCTCCCACTACCCCACTATTGAACCAGACTTTCCAAAAACCAAAAACATCTCTCTAGAAGTCTCCCCCACAACCCCAATTTTCTAAGTTTTTATTTTTTTTGCTCCGTCTTCTTCTTTTCTATTTTCTGCTCCGTTCCTCAATCTCTCTTACATGTCATTTGATTTGCAATACATACATGATCTAGCTGCTTGAGGAGTTCATTATATACATCGAGCATGGCCAACGCTCCAGGATGCTAGTTTCTTTCTTCTTCCGGGACTAATCATTTTTTCTTTTTGAAACTGTATAGTATGAATTTGATCATACGAAGTAGTTTCCTATATTTAATTTTGGGTATTTGGAATAATTGAGTTTTGGTGTCCGTCTAGGCAATTTGGGCTCTCCTAATTTGCAAAAATACGAAGATCAGTCACCTGTAAGCAATGCAATTTGGGAAATCTGGGCAAATTTGCGATGCGAAAACCAAATCTAGTCCTCGTCAAAAAATGTGGTGGTATTTCTCGGCACGATTTTGTTAGCATGTGAGTGAAAGAAGACGGACAAGAGATGGGAGAAAGGATAGAGACAGAAACAATGTCCTAGGGTATGGAATCCAATGTCGATAACGGTGATTGTTGAAGCTGGGAGTGAATAACGTTGTGGTGGGATCGACGAGGATGACCTTCCAATTGAAGTCGGCGACGTTTTCCACTTGGTATTATGTGTAATTATTTAATTGTTTAAGGTCATTTTGGGTGTTTGAAAGTTTCATTAAAGGGCTCAGCGACTATTGCAAATTAGGTTTGCGCAGAAGTTTGTGGAAGCTAAAAAAGCCAGTTTTTTAAAGCTAGCTTTTGCTGCTTTGAACTTTCAGTTTTTTTTTCACCCAAAACTGTGAAAAAAAACTGAAGTTGAATGTTTACCAAACACTCCCAACTTTTTTTTATACCCATTTTTTTTTAAATCATCTCAGTACCAAACCAGTACTAAGAGCAAGAAGACAAGCCAACTTTCTCTGTCACCCCTAGTTGCTTTTGTTTTCGAAAAGCAATAGAGGTAACTTCGAATGAGAGGTTAAGTGTGATTGATGAGCAAAGAAGAAACGCGCTTATGTTTCAACCCAATGAGAACGATATTCAACAAGTACCTAAACAACAATAGACTTCTCCCTATGTCGACATGTCTAAGGTATGGAGTAGGATTCTCTCATCTCTTTTTTTCCTTCATTTTCCCTCCCCTCCTATTTGAATGGTTATGATTAAGCTACGTTAACATCTTGTATTAATTTTTTATAAAAAAAAAAAAAAAAAAAAAGGAAGACAAAATAGATAATGTGAGAGGAAGGAATGGAAGAGAATGGAAGGGGATGAAAAAAATGAAAGAAGAGAAGCGGAAATGAAAAAGATGTTTTTATAACAAAGTTGTTGATTGATGGTAGAGAAGATACTAGGGTGATAAAAAGAAAAAGACAAAATAGATAATGTGAGAGGAGGAGATGAAAGAGGATGGAAGATGATGGAAAAATGAAGGAAGAAAAGCGGAAATGAAAAAGATGTTTTGATAACAAAGTTGTTGATTGATGGTAGAGAAGATAGGATGATCCTTATCCTCCCTATTCTAGGGATGGGAGGAATGGGAAAGACAAGTCTGACCCAACTAGCTCATAATGATGCCAATGTTGAATCCTGTTTTGATAAGAAAATATTGGTTTGCGGATGAGATTAAGATTGCCAAGCCATAAACAGTGATAACACACCTAGTTCAAACGATCAGGTGAGCAACGTCTTGGAATCTGTGTCAACATCCATTGACGGCAAGAGGTTTCTCATTGTCCCACATGCCGGGCGGACCTATAACCCTGAAAAGTGGGACCAATTACTTTGTAGACATCGAAATTTTGGAATTTTTTGTGTTTACATACTTATTCAAAGTGGTGTTAAAATTTTCCCTTGCATCTTTGTCACTCTTACTCTTTTGCTATTGATAATTCTGGGAGAGTTAAGTAAAGACTATTGTTTTTAATCTTCAATCACATCGTGTTTTTTGCTAGGTAAGTAGACGAGTCTTAAGGCGTTTGAAGATATTAGTAAAAAAATGGTAGAGCGAGAAATATAAAGATTTGCCTCTCACCGTAAAAGATTTAGACAGTCTCACATACAACAAGGGAGTGAATGACTATGTGTCTGGAATAGTAAGATATGGAATTGAAAAGAGATGGAGCGAAAAGTTTTCCAACCACTATTACCATGTTATTATGATTTGGTCTCAATAGTCAAATAATGTTTTTCATGTTGTGCTAGTTTTCTTAAAGATCATGAGTTTGACAGAGGTAATTTAGCTAATATATGGATGGCGCAAGATTATCTTAATTCAAAATAGACTAAATATAAGACAGAAATTGGTCAAGCAATTTTTCCTAACTTAGTAGCATTGTCTTTTCAAGATTTAAAGAAAGTGTTAGTGGTAAAATTATAGGTTGCAAAATGCATGATATTATTCATGACTTTGTGCAATCTCTCACCTAGAACGAATGTTTGATCATCAATGTTGAGGGTGTTGGCAATGAAATAGAGGTTTTAGGTGAAAAGGTTCGCCATTTGACCGTGTTAATGGCAATGCACAATTGCCGACTTTCACCTTCTAATGCTTATTACAATTGCAAAAATCTCCGTACCCTCAACTTTCATTTTTATAACTGAAATGTTGTAGGACATTAAATTTAGGTAGAAGTTTGATCAATGAAGTCCCGAAAAAGATTTGCGAATTGGTACATTTGAGGTACCTTGATTTTTGAGAGAATTATAACTTGAATATATTACTGGACAATAGCTGTGAGTTGTACAATTTCTATAGCTTGTGCCTTTCTGGCTTTTGATCGCTGTCCTAATCTGGAAATACTTGCCAAACGGATTCTGAAATTTCGATCATGCTATGCTTTTCCTCCTTACGAATTAGTCTCTGTTTTCTCCTGGTAATATCACCGAGCTCTATGTTATTTAGAAATTACGTTGCATCAAATGTGGCTATATATATCTTTTCAGATGATCTTCGAACAAGATTGATGTCGCTTTTACATAACTTTTCATCACTACGTGTAGGCACACTGCTATCCTATGTAACCAAATTCGATATCGAATGTCCATGGCGGAGGATTCGAGTGACAGGCTGTTTTGTAGCAGAGCAGGGAACTGATGAGCAGGTAATTGAGCTCTATCTAATTAAGATATTTATGTATGAGGTCCAGATATTATCACATTTGTTTAATTTGCATATTTTTCTTCTTCTTCTCCTTCTATATTTCTTCAGATGTTTTCATGTTTAATTATGATGATTTAACCTCACCTGCATGCAAGATGGCCGTGTGAAAAGTTGTGATCGATGAACCATCAAGGAAAATTATCGTGCATTCATCTCACTGATTGATGACAATTTTACGTAACTAATCATCAGTATGTGTAACTACTCCTACGATACGAAATTCGATATCGAATTTCCAGGCCACGGGCAGGATTTTCTTATCTTGGTTGCGGAAGCTTTTTGCTGCAGTGTCAGTTGAATTCACCTTCAAATTTTATCAAGACACCAAAAGTTTCTCCTGAGGTTTGGTATTTAGCTTTAATCTACATAATTTAGTTGTTTTTCGGACAATTTAATTCTAAGAACAATGCCTTAGAGTTGTTGCTGAATCGGGAATCCATCTATGGTTTCAGGGATTCTATCGAAGCAAGAAGCTTGATCTTGACCATCAACTTCCCCCTGCTGGATTTTCAAGTGAAATTTTGATCATATTCACCGATGCCATGAGAACTTGCAGGCATGGGAAAGTAATTCCTTAAAGCTGCTGTTAATGATACTAGATCCTTCATGGCCATTTTTCAACAGGTCAAATAAAATCACGTGAACAAGCAAAAAATAAAAATACGCTTGCAAAATTACGATTAAAATTTAATAAATATTACATCTATTAAAAACAATAGTTCGAACTCACAATATAACAAAGTACTCGTGTTCATCAAATTCATTCACCGTATCTAATGATTAAAACATAATTAAAACAATACATGATTCAATTCTCAATTAAAATAGGATGTGTTCTATGTAGATCCTGCAATCGGCACTCGACACTCGGCACTCGGCACTGCAGTAGCCAGTCAGCACGGGCTAAAGAAAGAGCTACAGAGGAGGGTTGGAGGTTCCATACATGGTTGTAGATTTTCTTTTGGAGGATAGTCATACTTTGTAATTTTGATGCGTGGTGCTCTTTTCTCAAATTTCCAGCCATGGCTCTGTCGAACTTATATATACAGCCACGAACAAGGTCAAGTTGCAGTAATCAGTCAAGTACAAACCCTTTTGCATATAAAACATTGCAATTTCATTAACCTGATGAACCTCCATTCGAAGTAGCCATGGATGCTGCAAACCGATTTTCTGCGTACTGGGACTCTTGTCCCCTTTGTCAGATTATTATGAACTCTAACCAAGAATAGGACTTTGTTCCGTAGAAAGCACAATTGTTGCGATAGTCGGGCAGCAAGCGCTGGTCCTAGCCCGGCAGCAGCCCTTTTCTCATCCTTTCTGGGACCATTCCGCAGTGCCTGAGAAGGTTGAGAAACTCTAATTGCGAAGTTCGTTCTCGATTAGTCATGCGCGGAGGGAGAGAACGGTGCAATTGCCCCAGACCAAGGGGCTTCACACTCTGGGAGTTCCTTCTACTTGACCAGCTTATTCGTATTTATCCGTGGGAGCAGAGGTCACAAACTCACAATATATATAGGCATATATCTCTCATTATCCAATAAGGATTCCCTATTAAAATCCTTGTAGAGAACAACTTATGTTTTCCAATCCATATCAGTTTAAATGTTATAACAAAATCCTTCACAAACAAGGGATTTGCACACAGCTTCTTATAAGGCTTTCCTATTCCAATTGGACTTAATCATTCACTGTCAAAATATCCAATCTCATGTTTATATTCTTACGGGCCCAAGGCACGGAGGCTGAAAAGTGTGCTTGCAGGGCAAGCGGGCAACTCCTCCTGCATCTTATGATTTCATCATTCACACCCAAGTTTTCCTTTCAATTCTAAATGAAAACGTGCATTAGGCCTAACTTATTTGGGCTCATTGTATTAAACAGGCCCATATTTCTCATTCCAATTTTTTAGCTCAGTGTTTTCTTTGTTATTAATCTTGGAACCGCGGACAGCTGCATAACCTGCTTTATTGTCTTGCTATCTCCTTATTTTTATCTCTCGGACTCTTACACTCGTCGCGTTGTATGCTAGAATCTATCCAATGACGTTGTAATCTAGACTATTTTATTAATAGTTTTGTACTACCTGAGAAAATTTACAAAAAAAAACAAATAAGAGAATACAATTAATACCCGGTGGTTGAAGATTATAACCGTTGGATAAAAATCCAACGGTCCACTAAGGTTAAGAGAATTCCGACCAGTTATCTCAGAGAGGATCCCTAAAAATGTATTCATACTTACCTAATCAAAGTAGATTTATTTGTCCTGAACTGTGACGTGACATTAATTTTATATTATTTGGAATATTTTTAAATGAAGCAGTTGAAACTAGCATTTCTAATTCGCAGAATATGACTACACAACCAACCTGCATTTCTTAATTTTCTTTGGTTAAAAAAGAAAATTAAAGAATTAATTTCCTATTTCTATTTATCTTTCTTTTAACGTAAGAAATAATTGGAAACTTCAAAGTAATTGCAAAGAAATTAAAATATGCTATTCATTCTGATCGGTAAGAAAAGTCGGCTGAAACGATCAGGACATAGAGGGTCTTCATCGAATCGATGTGGAGTTGGAAATTAAAATGCAATACTAGACGTACGATTGATTTGGAGTTTTGCCTTTATAACTTAATCACTAATTACTATATAATCCAGGTGTGAAAGATTCCGAAAGGTTTCGCGTAGAGTGTTGATTTGTTTTTGATGTTCACGTGATGCAAGAAAAGATGCAATAATGAAGATAGGTGCTTGATTGCTTTTTAACAAATAATGTTACATTTATTACAGTTTTTATATTACATTTGTATTATTTTTCTACTAAAGATACGATCCATTAGTACAAACAACTCTCATCTTTATAAAAGAGTTAATACAAATATCATATGAAAGATATGATAAAACTAATATTTTTACTTTTTTACAGGTGTACGTTTGTATCGTATTTTTTTCTAATGCTTAACGATTTTCTAGAATTGAAACATAGTATAATTTGAGGACTACCAATACTATACTTCTGAGGAAGGACTGGATGGTCATTTTCATAGTCAATGTGAATCACAATTGTTGGTTCATGGTGCAGGAAACACTGGCTCCGTTATTGAAACTGGTGGTTTGCATAGGGGGTGTTGAGGGGGAGCGAAATGTGCAGTCGTGTAGGGCCTTAATTTTGAAGGGGCCTTAAAAAATTTTGTCATCTAATATTTTTATGTTATAATGTTCTATATTTAAAAATTGCTTTTGTTATGTAATAATGTTTTATATTTAGAAATTATTTTTGTTAGCACTTTAAATTTTATTGTGCACTCCTTATAAGCATAATTTTTTCCTTTAAGTATAAAAATTTGGAGTATAATGAGATATTTTGAGTGCCAATAATAACACCTTAAAAATGGTATTTCTTGGCTTTTTATATTAGCACCCTACAAAATATTGAATGCACCCCACATTAAAATTTAATATTAAATGATTTATTATCCTACTATGTAATGACAATTTTGACCTTATCAAGTTTTAAAAAAAAAAAAAATTCTAAATACACCCCAAATCACTTTTAACGTATTATTTATTTTCTTCAACCATCAAAATTCCTCTGACCCTCTATTGTTGAACAAAACTCTAACCATTGAAACTACAAACATGTTGATTGAGAAAAATTACTTTTGACAAATGAAACACGAAATCGGTTTCGGAAGCTTCACATGAGGTAAGACTTCATTATTTTTTTTTTTATTGTTTTAGTGATTTTGACGATATCAATAATTATTTAATCTTGCTTTTGCTACGTTGTTCAAGCTTCTATGTTTGTAATCATCTTTTAGGTATCACATGGATTACATGAAAAATTAAACACCTAAAATTACCACCAAATATTAAAAATAAACGACATGGGTTTTAATGGTGGAATTAAAAACAACCCATGTGACATCCCACATCGCCCAGGGGACTGATCCTTAAATGTATATTCTCATCCTTACCTAGCACGAGGCCTTTTGGGAGCTCACTGGCTTCGGGTTCCGTAGGAACTCCGAAGTTAAGCGAGAAGAGGGCTAGAGCACTCCCAGGATGGGTGACCCTCTGGGAAGTTGCTCGTGAGTTCCCAAAAACAAAACCGTGAGGGAATGGTAAGCCCAAAGCGGACAATATCGTGCTACGGTGGTGGAGCGGGCCCGAGTTGTGGTCCCGCCCGGGCCGGAATGTGACAATTTGGTATCAGAGCCTATCCCTGGCCGGAAATGTGCCGACGAGGACGTCGGGCCCCTAGGGGGGGTGGATTGTGACATCCCACATCGCCCAGGGGACTGATCCTTAAATGTATATTCCCATCCCTAACTAGCACGAGGCCTTTTGGGAGCTCACTGGCTTCGGGTTCCGTAGGAACTCCGAAGTTAAGCGAGTAGAGGGCTAGAGCACTCCCAGGATGGGTGACCCATCGGGAAGTTGCTCGTGAGTTCCCAAAAACAAAATCGTGAGGGAATGGTAAGCCTAAAGCGGACAATATCGTGCTACGGTGGTGGAGCGGGCCCGAGAAGTGGTCCCACCCGGGCCGGGATGTGACCATTTGGTATCAGAGCCTATCCCTGGCCGGAAATGTGCCGACGAGGACGTCGGGCCCCTAAGGGGGGTGGATTGTGACATCCCACATCGCCCAGGGAACTGATTCTTAAATGTATATTCCCATCCCTAACTAGCACGAGGCCTTTTGGGAGCTCACTGGCTTCGGGTTCCGTAGAAACTCCGAAGTTAAGCGAGTAGAGGGCTAGAGCACTCCCAGGATGGGTGACCCATCGGGAAGTTGCTCGTGAGTTCCCAAAAACAAAACCGTGAGGGAATGGTAAGCCCAAAGCGGACAATATCGTGCTACGGTGGTGGAGCGGGCCCGGGAAGTGGTCCCACCTGGGCCGGGATGTGACAACCCACATATGCTTTAAATCTTAGGCAACATCTTTTGTAAAAATTTCAATCGGCATTTTTTGTCCAAATTAAAAGCTTTATAAGATTTGAGAAATGCAAGGTGTATAGAAAATATGGGGTGCATGTAGAAAATGTAAGACGTAATTGAGAATGTGAGGGTATTATAGGGAAGTATGTGGTGTATTAAGATAATTTTCCATTGAAAAAGTAAATGTAGGGTGTATTAAGTATATGAGGTTTATTCAACAATTTGTTGGGTGTTAATATAATAAGCCTATTTTTTTTTCAATTTTATTATATAATAATGTTATATATTCAAGTGAAACTTCAAAGTTAGAGCTTTTAAAGTTTTTTTTTAATTTTTTTTTTAAAGATTAAACTGCTTTTGATTATTTAGTGAACGTTATATTTGTAACTCTTTATACTTATTATTAATGACATTTTTAAAATTGCAATTAGTGTGTGCTAAACTTTGTTTTGATTTAAGTGATTGTTTTCTAGCGTCAATACATTGTCCTACATTTTTTAAAACTATCTTAAGGAAGGGTCCTTTTATAAATTTTGCACAAGACCTTCAAAATCTCAGAGACGGCCCTTGTGGTATGGTTGCAGTTGAGCTAACTTCCATTACATTTGGACGTCCGTCCATTTCTCCAAGATCCATGATCCATACAGAATAAGACATTGTATATGCCAACCAAAAATTGAGGATTACATGTAAGCCTAACAACGGATAGTGATTTTCACTCGATAACGACCGTAATGTGTTTTGCCAGCAATGGAGTATCAACCTTACTTGATTATGTTTTCTAATTATCTTCCTCAATTTTAACGGTTAGAAAAACGAGTCTCCACGAAACTTTCAAATAAATGTGACTAAAATATGTTAATCTTTTTTATGTATAAATCACTAAAAAAATGTTACTCATGCGAATCGGTAAGCAAGTGCGGCTTAACCTATGAATTTAGTACGGCCGAGATTCTTCAATCAAGGCAGAGTGTATTCATATTTATGTTTTTATATCATATTTTTATCTCACCTTAAGTAGCATCTGATGTAGACAACCACATTATTTGAAAAATTTACAAAACCCAAGGAAATGAAAGAGAAAGACTCATCGTATATCACAATCATCATTTAATTAACTAATTTTTCTTAACTATTAGTTTATTAAATAATGAATTAAATTTAAAAATCTGATTAATTCAAATGATGTAGCTGTCCACATCAAATACCATCTAAGATGATATGAAAATATAATACAAAAATATGGTATGAATAACGTTACTACTAAAAAAATTAAAATTCAATAGATAATTGACTTGAATATTTATTTATTTTTTTACTTTTTTGGTTTGATTGACTTGGGAGTTATGTAAACCGGGCAGAAGAAAGGCAATAGCACAGGCCAAAACCATCCATCCTGCATTCTTCTTCTGTCTCTCTGTATAGACTTTCCTATTTCTTTTTCTATTGTCCATCAATTTCCGAGGCTGAAAAATGGCTGACGGGATCATTTCCATGGTACTGAAGCAGCTGGCTTCAACAGCTTATGAATACGTAGCTGGAGAAGTGAAACTTGTTTTGAACGTCACCAAAGAAACTGAAGATTTCGCTGCCAAACTCAAAGAAATTCAAGCTGTTCTTGAGGATGCGGAACGAAGACAGGTGAAAGATGCCAGCGTGAGAATCTGGCTGGATAAGTTGAACGACATATCCTTCCAGATGGTGGACGTGCTGGATGAGTGGAACACTAACATGCTGAGACAACAGGTTGAGAAGCAAGAACGAGAAGGTGAAGTTGTTGTTCCTGAGGAGGAGAAGAAGAAGAAGAAGGTAACTTTCTCTATTTCCTCTAGCTGCTTTTGTTTTCACAAAACCAAAGAGGTGATTTTTCACCATGACATTGCGAGTAAGATAAAAGATTTGAACGATAAATTAAGTGTGATTGATGAGCAAGGTTAAAGTTATGGGTTTCAACATATAGAAAGAGGCATTCAAGAATTACCTGAACGGCAGAAGACTTCATCTTTTGTTGTCATGTTAGAGGTATTTGGTCGAGAAAAGGAAAAAGACGTTCTGATAACAAAGTTGTTGAGTGATGGTGGAGAAGATCAGAGGGGGCTCCCTATCATCCCTATTCTAGGGATGGGAAGAATGGGAAAAACAACTCTAGCCCAACTTGTTTATAATAATGACAAGGTTAAAGCTTATTTTGAAAAGAGAGTGAGGGTTTGTGTCTCAGATCCTTTTGATGAGATTAAGATTGCCAAAGCTATATGCAGTGATAATGCCCCAAACTTAAATGAGTTAGATCATGTTTTGCAACATATGTCAACATCCCTCGAGGGCAAAAGGTTTCTCCTTGTCCTAGATGATGTGTGGACCCACGACCATAAAAAGTGGGAAAAATTAAGGGCATCACTAATTCAAAGTGGTGCTCATGGTAGTAGAATATTGGTGACCACAAGACAACATGATGTTGTTGATATGATGAGAGCAAGAAGTGACATGATCAATTTGGGAGAGTTGAGTGAAGAGTATTGTTTATCAATCTTCAATCATATGGCATTTGCTGATATAGAAGTAGATGAGTCAAGTGCGTTTAAAGATATTAGTAAGGATATTGTGAAGAAATGCAAGGGTTTACCTCTCGCTGCAAAAGCTTTAGGTGGTCTCATGTATAATAAGAAAACAAGGAGGGAATGGCTAGATGTCTTGAATAGTAAAATATGGGATCGAGAAAAGGTGGAGCAAGAGGTTTTTCAACCACTTTTTCTAAGTTATTATGATTTGGCCCCAACAATCAAATGTTGTCTTTTGTATTGTGCTAGTTTTCCTAAAGATTATGAGTATAGGAGGGATGTGTTGATTAATCTTTGGATGGCACAAGATTATCTTAATTCAAAAGGGAATAAAGATGAGGGAGAAGTTGGTCAAGCATTTTTTGATAACTTAGTAGCACGATCCTTTTTTCAAGATTTGGAGAAAGATAGTGTTAGTGGTAAAATTATAGGTTGCAAAATGCATGATATTGTTCATGACTTTGTGCAATCTCTCACCAAGAACGAATGTTTGATCCTCGACACTGAGGGTATTGACAATGAAATAGAGGCTTTGGGTGAAAAGGTTCATCATTTGACCTTAATCTTTTGGTCAGAAAGTGGTGAGCCGCTGCCACTCCCACCTTCTTATGCATATTACAATTTCAAAAACCTACGTTCACTTACAAAAATCTCAAACTCATATTTTTAGGTTCATCCATGGCTAAGATAGACTCAAATTTTATTGTACAACTGAAATGTCTTAGGACATTAAATTTGAGAAACAGTGGCATAACTGAAGTCCCAGAGGAAATTGGTGAATTGATACATTTGAGGCATATTGATTTGTCATGGAATGATGGTTTGAAGATATTGCCGGATAGTATTTGTGAGTTGTACAATTTGTATACCTTGCGCCTTTGTCACTGCCGTTCTTTTGAAAAACTACCTGATAACATGGGAAAGTTGATTAGCTTAAAGCACATGTATATTGGGGAATGTCGTAAGCTGGAGTACTTGCCAAAAGGAATTCGAAGAATAAAAAAATTGAAAACAATTGATGAGTGTGTTGTGGTTTGTGGTGAGGATGAGGACAGAGCAGCACTACAAGTGGGAAATATGAGAGTCTTGAACGTTGAGGGCAGTCTCACCATAAAATTGAAGGGGAATGTGAAAGATGAGAGGGAGCTTGAGAAGGCACAGTTGTGGGACATGAAGAAACTCTTTCATCTTGAAATTGATTCTGAGGATGTTTAATACAAGCAGACAAGAAGCACTGTAGAAATACTGAATGGGCTACGATCGCACGAAAATCTGGAATCTTTAGACATTTCTTATCATTCAGGCACCACCTGCCCCAATTGGATGATGTCTTCGCACAACTTAAGAATCATCTATCTATAGAGATGGAGTGAATGCAAGTTTTTGCCTCCTCTTGGGAAATTGCCCTACCTTGAAAAGCTGACTCTATTGCGTTTGGACAAGGTGGAAAAGATTGGAGGTGAATTTTTGGGAATAGTTGATTTAGATGAAACGTCATTAACATCATCATCATCCACCTCATTTTTTCCAAAGTTGAAACAACTCCATATTAACAACATGTACGCCTTGGAAGAGTGGGGAGTAGGCGTGGAAGGGTGGAACAAAGAGGATTCTGAAATTTCAATCATGCCATGCCTTTCCTCTTTACTAATTCAGTACTGCAAAGGCATAGAAACACTGCCAGACTTCCTCTGCAAAACACCACTGCAGGATTTTACCATTAGGGGTTGTCCAATTCTTTCAGAGCGTTGTGAACAAGGCAGTGGCGATGAATGGCACAAGATTTCTCACATCCCAAACATCAGAATCTAAAAATACTGGTAATTGAGCTCTATCTTATTTGCACATGTATGTATGTTATCATCTTATTTGTTTAATTTTCTTATTTTTCTTCTTCAAAGGAAATGAGTAATGTGGATCAACTGGCTACTTGCGAGCTAGGCATACATATTAATCTTCTTTTAAAAGGTAATTTTCTTTCTCTATATATTTCAATGATTATTTAACTTCAGCTACTCATTTCTAATTTATCTGCAGGACGACTGAGTGAAAGTTATGATATCAATAAACCATCTAGGAAACTTATCGTGCATCATCTTACTGATTTATGAAGCACTTTTTAGTAATTATTCATATGTACATACCAAATTCGATATCAAATTTGCACGGCGCATAATTTTTTTTTTATCTTAATTGCTCAAGTTTTCGCAGAAAATAGTAAGGCTAAAGTAGAGGTGAGCCAAATTATTCTACCCCTTTAGCACCCCTTTAGCAGTTAGCACTTTGCTAAGCTCAATATGATTAAAACTTTCGGGCAAGCGAACATATTTGCCTTTCTTTCTTATTTCGTTAAAGCCTTTAAGTTTTTGCACTATAATATCCACTACCATGTATATGTTGTACTGTCTGTTCAAGTCATGTTAGGATTCCAAACTGTGTTTTCTCATTGCAAATGAACTTGGTGTTTCATTTTAACCCTAGGAAAGAGGGTCTTCGCTCTTTTTTGTGTGCCTGGTTGTGTGCATTTTCATTTGCTTTCTAGATTTTGCCCTACACAATTTTTGAGTTGACACTTTCGGTATCGTTGTGTTACTTGACTCCCGTTGAAACCTCGTGAATTACCCACAGAAAATCTGTCCCTGTTTCTGGATTGTTTGGTAGACCGATAGTCTGTTTAGATGGCTTGTATGCTGGAGCTATTATATTCACCCTAGAAAGCAAAGCACTCGTAAAAAATATATACATATTTGTGTGTTTTCTATATGTCACCAAGCAGGGTTCTTGGTATATGTATTGATAAGCAAGTGGTCTGATATTTTTATTCTCTGCTTCAGAAAAGTTTCAAGACAAGAATATCTAAAGAAAAGGAAGCGAAAGAAGTTGGGAGGAAATCCCTATGTTGCCGGTAAAACCAAAGTATGTTTGATTAGAGTAATTCTTATGCCGGGATGGGGATAATCACTATGTTGCTGGTAAAACCAAAGTATGTAGTTAGGTCTTATATTTTCGTGAAAGGTTCCTTCTAGAGGGTGTAGAACTCTGTCTTACCTAAATTTTTCTCTTATAACATTACAATGCAGTGAAAATTATAAGGTAAGTTTAATATCAAAAAATAAAAGCACAACAACAATAACAACAAAGCCTTTTTCCACTAAGTAAGGTCGGCTATATGAATCCTAAAATGTCATTGCGTTCGGTTTTGTGTCATGTCTATATCTTTTAAAGAATTGGGTTAATTAATTATGTACAATATGCGGACGTCGTTCTTGCTTGGGGTTTTGGGTAACTCATGGCGTGGCATCTCAGCAACAAACACAACAAAAATATATACAAACACATATATATGCATGGTAGAAACTTTCAGAATAGTATGTGCATCTTCTGCTCTTATTATCTAATGTTTTGGGGAAGAAGAAAACCCTATCTTATATCGGGTAGCCAAATTGTTGGAAATAACATTTAAACGCAAATTTTGGTATGCTCACTTCCTGGTTCCTGCCATGTCCGCCACCCCTTCCCTATTTCATCTGGCATAATGCTGCTCTCTAATGCATATGTCTATTTTTTCTCGTTTCGTCATATTTTTATTTTTTTAAATATTGAAGAATTAATGTGTAACACGAAATTTGGAGAGAAAGACTCTATACTTCTCTCTTCTCCGCCACTCCACATAAAGGAATTTAACATTTTTTTACGAAACCAACAGAATATGGAAAAGTGATAAAATTTTGAATGTTGTAAAGTGTCACAAAGTAAGTTCGATCATACCAAAAATAAACCAAAAATATATAAGAAGGTGAACTCTACGCTACTTTATTATTGATGCTTAAAATTTTTGGTTGGTCATTACTTTATTATTTTTAAAATTTTTGGTACATTCAGTTTGTATTAGAGTATTCAATCATATGCGATTAGTCTTCTGACCCTTCTAAACAGCCTTCATTCCTTGCGGCTATCAAATCAATGTCCATATCCGGTAATGGCTCTGCATTGATTTGAATTAACCAAATAATTATCTTGTTCTTTAGGCCGTTTCAATTTCCTTGTTTTTATGTTTGCAAAGTATGACTGTCACTTGAACCGACGGGGCTATTTTTAACTTGGGACAGTTTTCAGGATCTTATTCCAAACAGAACGTCCTGACTTGACTTTTAGACTGATAAATCTTCTGATAGTGGTTAAAAAGAGGCTGAAATGTCTATGTAAGTATTTCTAACCCCAAAAAGGTGAACAATCATGACGAAGCCACCAACTCTTATAAATTTTTTTTTTTTAAAAAAAAGGTTTTTATCACAAATGGTCCCTGAAATTGAAAATCAATCAATATAGTCTCTGAAAATAGATGTCGCAAATCAGTGTGGTACTTCCGTCACAATTCTGTTAAAAATCTTGTTAAGTGCTGATATGGCACATAAATGAGTCTCACAAGTTTTTTTTCTTCTTACAAATGGCCTTTAAAATTGACTTGCGACATCAAAATGGTCCATAAAATTAAAAATCAATTAATGTAGTCATGCAAATAAGTGTTTTAAATCAATGTAATCATCCCGTCACAATTCTGTTATATGCTGATGTGACACATAAATGGGTCACATAGTCTAATTAAATTAAAAAAAATTACAAATATGTTAATTAATTTAATAATTATTAAAAAGTTTTCGACCCAAAAACTCAGTCCTGCAATCACCTCTGATCTCAGTCTACATTCCTCTACCTTATTCGCTGTCTATTCTCTAAAAAAAATCTCAATACACCCATTTTACACACTTCGACACATTTCACTGAATTGAACCTAGATCAAAATCACATTTGGTGACAGCTTGGCTGATTATCAATAACTCATGAGATATCATTGTGAACATTTAAGCGATCAACATTCTCACAACCTTAATCTTGGAGAGCTTGTTCAAAGCTTCCCTGGTGGTCTCAAGGAATAACGAGGTCTGTCTTGAAATAATGAGGTTATAACCAAGGTGCGTCTATTGTTGGTTGAAAACTATTTCCAAATCCCCTCTTAGGCCTTGGTTAAGTCTTGTGCCTTTGAGAATTTGTGGAAGGGATATCTCTTCAGAGTAGGCCCCACTATAAGGAAAAAATAATCTTTTTGCAACTATAAGGAAAAAAAAATCTATTGTGCAAAAAGGTAATTAGACAATTTTTTAATTAATTATTAAACCCACATCAACATATAACAAATTTTTTTTTTTTACAAAACTATGGCGAAATGATCATATTGATTTGCGACACCTATTTTCAAGGACTCTACTCATCAATTTTCAATTTTAAGGATCATCTTGATGGTGTGGGTCAATTTTAGGGATCATCTTGATGACTTGGATCAATTTCAATGACCCTTTGTGATAAAAACCTGTAAATTTTGTGGAGACCCATTTATGTATCACATCAGCACTTAACAGAATTTTTAACGGAATTGTGACGGAATGACCACATTAATTTACGACACTTATTTTCAGGAACTACATTGATTGAACCATCTTGATGATGATGATTAATTTCAGAGACTATTTATGATAAAAACTTAAAAAAAAAAAACAAAAAAAAAACAAGGGGATGATGGATCTGTATAAAGCGAGTTTATGGTTCGGAATCCTGCAATGTAACAAAAAGCAATTGACTGTCAATTGCTCAGTAATATTACTTATAATAAAATAAATATCTCAAAAAAAAAAAAACGTTAAGTTCAATTCATATTAAAATAGTTCAGTCTATTTCAGAATTAATCAAATTCTGACTCCGGTCTCAAGCTTGTCTGTCACATCCCGGCCCGGGGCGGATCACTTCCCGGGCCCGCTTCCACTACCGTAGCACGATATTGTCCGCTTTGGGCTTACCATTCCCTCACGGTTTTGTTTTTGGGAACTCACGAGCAACTTCCCAGAGGGTCAGCCATCCTGGGAGTGCTCTAGCCCTCTACTTGCTTAACTTCGGAGTTCTTACGGAACCCGAAACCAGTGAGCTCCCAAAAGGCCTCGTGCTAGGTAGGGATGGGAATATACATTTAAGGATCACTCCCCTGGGCGATGTGGGATGTCACAATCCACCCCCCTTAGGGGCCCGACGTCCTCGTCGGCACATTTCCGGCCAGGGATAGGCTCTGATACCAAATTGTCACATCCCAGCCCGGGCGAGACCACTTCCCGGGCCCGCTCCACTACCGTAGCACGATATTGTCCGTTTTGGGCTTACCATTCCCTCACGGTTTTGTTTTTGGGAACTCACGAGCAACTTCCCAGTGGGTCACCCATCCTGGGATTGCTCTAGCCCTCTTCTCGCTTAACTTCAGAGTTCCTACGGAACCCGAAGCCAGTGAGCTCCCAAAAGGCCTCGTGCTAGGTAAGGATGAGAATATACATATAAGGATCACTTCCCTGGGCGATGTGGGATGTCACAATCCACCCCCCTTAGGGGCCCGACGTCCTCGTCGACACATCACGACCAGGGTTAGGCTCTGATACCAAAATGTCACATCCCGGCCCGGGAGGGTGGGACGACTTCCCGGGCCCGATCCACCACCGTAGCACGATATTGTCCGCTTTAGGCTTACCATTCCCTCACGGTTTTGTTTTTGGGAACTCACGAGCAACTTCCCAGTGGGTCACCCATTCTGGGATTGCTCTAGCCTCCTTCTCGCTTAACTTCGGAGTTCCTACGGAACCCGAAGCCAGTGAGCTCCTAAAAGGCCTCGTGCTAGGTAGGATGGGAATATACATTTAAGGATCACTTCCCTGGGCGATGTGGGATGTCACAATCCACCCCCCTTAGAGGCCCGACGTCCTCGTCGGCACATTTCCGGCCAGGGATAGGCTCTGATACCTATGTCACATCCCGGCCCGGGTAGGACGACTTCCCAGGCCCGATCCACCACCGTAGCACGATATTGCCCGCTTTGGGCTTACCATTCCCTCACGGTTTTGTTTTTGGGAACTCACGAGCAACTTCCCAGTGGGTCACCCATCCTGGGATTGCTCTAGCCTCCTTCTCGCTTAACTTCGGAGTTCCTACGGAACCCGAAGCCAGTGAGCTCCCAAAAGGCCTCGTGCTAGGTAGGATGGGAATATACATTTAAGGATCACTTCCCTGGGCGATGTGGGATGTCACATTGTCAAAGTTAGAATACACTAGTAAGATTTAGTACAGAAAGTTTCAAGTCAAATTGGTCGATCTCCAAATGTACAAAACAAGTGAATAACTTTTCCATTGAAATTCCTTGGAAACTCCGTAAACAGAAAACAAACAAAAAAACCTTGGAAGTTCTTCTCAACAGGAAGTAGGTGGGGAAATTATGGAATCTACATTTCCAACATTAAGGACCACTATTTAAGGTTTTTGTTTTATTTTAATTAAAATGTTGTTGATAAGAGATTTCTTTAATGCGCTGAAATTACTGCTCAGTATAATAAATATAAAAATACAATTAATTAGAAACTTGAAAACTACAACTTTAACTAACAACGCTGTAAGTTTATGCGAAATTGCTTAACTTTTCGATACCTCTCTGAGGTGTTGAAGATACTTGAAAAATGATTATATCACATAGTACGAAGTTTCACTTTCATGTCTCCTTTTACAAATATCTCATCACACCGAGGAGCAAACTTATGATTATAAGGGGTGGATAAACTTTTCTCAAACATTCTCCTCCAAATTTAAATTGCAGAGAGAGAGAGAGAGAGAGAGAGCTCAAATCAAATTGCTGGAGTTGGGTTGAATTAAACTGGAAAATGAAATGAGAGGAGGGCAAGTGGGAGCATTTGATGGGTTGCCAACCCATTTGCTTCTCTCGTGTTTCTATCACTCCTACAACTACCGGTAGCTGAGAGGAGTTGTTGAAGGAAGCTATTTCTTTCTCCTGCCTTTGGTTTTCTCCCTGCTTTAATCCCTCTCTCTTCTTCTTTTTTATTTTGGGTCTTCTGATTTGATTCCTGGGCACCATTTTATTTCCCTCTTTAGCCCTTCAATTCCCCTTCAAAGACTGAATCTTATATGGTTTGACCCAAAGAATCAAAGAATTGAACAGCAAATGTGTTGTGGGAATTCTGAGTTTTGAATATTTTTCTCTGGGAGAATATTGGGTTTTGTTTACTTTATGGGTTTTCAAAAGCTGGAGATATTCTCTGTGATCACATTTGATGATGATCATTAAAGGTGAGTAGTTCCTTCCTTTATCAGATACGTCCTTTATGGTTTTTGCCTTTTCCTTTTCTGACCAGTAGCCCTTACAGATCTCACAATAAAATTCTGGGTTTTAATGGAAGAATCTACCCTTGTTGTTTGAATGTTTCAGGTAAAAATTTAAAGTGGAAGCTCCAAAATTTGAATGTGATTCAATCACTCAAGCCCCAAAATTTGAATCTTTTTCAAACTTCAGAGACCCCTTTTGCTTTCAGACTGGTTAGCAGATTCTGGGCAGCAGTGATCAGACTGGTTTTAGAGAGAGAGAGAGAGAGAGAGAGAGAGAGAGAGAGGAGAGAGAGATTGATATGCATCTTTCAGTATGGAGGCCAATATCTCACTGTGCAGCTCTACTAATGGAGAAGAAGACCAGGAGGAGGAGAGACAACGGTTCTGGTGTTATCAGGTGTCCTGGGATGAATTACCGTCGGTAGAGGAGGAGTCCGAAACGTAACACTCGCAAAGTAAATTATATGGATGATTCTCTCTGTTTTTGAAGGAAATGGAAGTGAAAGAAAGGATGCTAGCCTTTGTATGGTCTGTTCTTTTTTTATTGTAATTTTTGTGTTTCTAGTGTTATAAAGTGTCTTGTAAAAATTCAAATACATAACAATACAATAAATTTAAAACGTCGTAATTTTGACATAGAAGTAACACGAATTGAACTAACTGATCACGAATCATTAGCCTTTGTAGCGGCTGGATTTGAACTCGGGACTTATTTTAATAATGGAAAGAGAACTTAATCATGTAACTTATAAGCTAAACACATTCAAATTCATGTTTTAACGGTTCTTGATGCTTGTGATTCTCAAATTATACTACAACAATTTAAATAGGTATGTCTGACCATGTCATTTATAGGATACCTCTCATAAAAACATGAAATTCTCTTAATATTAATCCCGCTCAATAATTTGATGGTTCTGTTCCAGTAAAAATTGACGTAGTCAAACAGTACTATTAACGTACAGGGACGGAACCAAAAATTTCTTCTAATGGGGACAACCGAAAATAACTAAGAAAACCTTATTATAGTATGGTTATATGCAATATGATATTAAGGATAGTTTCAAATGATAATGTATCATAATTCCAATGTCACAAAAATTTGAATATAGTAGTGGAAAGTGACAAAGTGATGAGAAAAATATAAGTACATGATAGGCGGAAGAAGGTTTTTTAGGTTTGAATGATAGAACAAGAGCACTATTGCTCATATAATATTTAATATGAAGTATAAATAGAATGAATGTATGTTGAATATTATATACATATATTTTCTTCAAAGATAATCCGTATATATTATATAATTGTAGTATGCAACTAAACAAACAAATTACTTGAATGGGACATCTACCCCCAATAAGCCTTCATTGGTTCCGTCCATGTCAACGTATCTCTTCATATCACAAGCGCTTAAAAATTAAGAGACAAAACATTTCATCCCATCAAATCAAAAACTTGTCATGGTGAGGTATTAGGGATTTTCTGCGCGGACTAAATAGCAAATTAATAATTGTTGCTTCAACATGGGCCTTTACTTAGTATTATCAATCAAGCCCATTAAACTTAATAGGCCCAATTTCTTTGATTCTTTAAATGACCGCTCGGCGTAGCAGAGCGAGTCAAAGACGACGACGCAAGAGTTTCAGGCTTTCCGCCGTCATGCCTGGTGGCGCCCCTGCACAGTACAAACTCAAAGTACAAGCTCCAGCCAATGGCATCCATGGATTCTCAACCACTTTACTGCGACCCAGATCTGCGCTGGAGAGCTGCCATTGGCCCTTCAATGCTATATAAGCATTGCATTCAGCTGGTAATCCAAAAACCAGAGCTTTTGATTTCTGAAATTTCAGTTTCAATCCACAGCAACACGCCGTTCGTTCTTCTGTTCAAATTTCACATCTTTTTGTTTACGTTTATTGCTCTTTCTTATCAGGATTCATGGCTGGGGCAGTTCCTCCGGTCACCCGGTTTTTAAAGTAGTTTCTTCCTGTTTGCATTGGAGTGGTCGAATGATTTTAAGGAAAAAGATCCGGCAATTGTGTACATTGTCCAAATTGAAGGCAGTTTCTCTCTCAATTTCTGTTCCCAACGCCAATATATGTGTGTATGTATGCATCTTTGTGTGTGTTGGTTGTATTTATTAGGGTGGTTGATTGAAAATTTGGTTATTTTTTGGATGCTTGTTGAGTTGGATAATTGGGTGTGAGATATTGGGGAGGTGGGTCGAATTAATTGATTAGTTTTGATGAAGTTGTTTCATTTGGTAGCTGCTGATAATTTACATTTTCCCTGTGTGGTTTATGATTTTTTTTTATAGTTTTTAATTATTTAAAAATAAAATTATTTTTCATTATTTAAATATTTTTAATCTATGTGATAAATTGGTAATATTTAATTAAACTTGAAGAATCCAATTATGTGCCACATTAGCACATAACAAAATTTTTAACGAAATTGTGACGGAATGATCATATTTATTTGAAACGCCTATTTTTTGATACTACATTGATTGATTTTTGACTTCAGGGATCATCTTGATGGGATGAGTTAATTTCAGAGACTATTTGTGATCAAAACCTAAAAATGCATTATTATTATTAAGGAAATTGAATCACGTACTTATTTATGTGTATCATGAATAGTCCTTACATTATTCTGAACTCATCATTTTCGTCTCTGTTATTATGAACTCATAATTATTTTCATCTCTGTTATCCAGAACTCATCATTTTCGTCCTTGTTATTCGAACTCATCATTTTCGTCATTGTTATCCTAAACTTATCATTTTTGTCTCTATTATCCAAACTCATAATTTTTGTCTTTGTTATCCGAACTCATCATTTTCGTCATTATAATTTAATATCAAACTCATTATCTACAAAAATTAAGTTTAATAAATTTTGACGGAAAATTGAATGAAATTGTGCGATGAGGAGCCATCGTTAAATAATAATGGGCTCCAAAGGCCCATAGTGGAGTTGAGGTAAATAATATTGAGGCCTAAAGGCGGTCCTATATATCGTGTGGGTTTGCAATTTCGCACTTTTTTCCTCCCGACCCGACCTCTCATAAGCCCGCACTTTTCTAATCTTTTTTTTGTTGCCGCCGTGACAATGTTTTGAACGCTAGGCGAACAGTGCAGCTCCGCCTATTTACGGTGGCTTCAGAATCAACCGCACTCTACACACGGCCTTACTATTACCGCACATACGATTCCTATAGATCCTTCTGATATAAAATCCATCCCTTTCTGAGCCAAGCAAACCAACGCCAGAAATTATTTGTTGCCCTAAGGTGAGTTCTCTCGATTGATTCAAAATCCCTAACAAAAACAGTACTTAGGGTTCTGGTGTAATTGTTTTTGTTTCAATTTTCGATAATTCCATTGAAACTTAATTGCTTTTTAGCTTAGGCAGCTTGAATTAGTGTTAAATTGAATTGACACCAAATTTCATGCTCTATTTTTTGATTTTTTTCTGAATTTAATGTTTTGTCGTTGTTTTGAGAACAGTTGTGTTGTTCAATGCAGCAAAAATGGGGAGTGAGAGCAATTTGAAGACGTGGGTATCCGATAAGCTAATGACGTTGCTTGGATACTCTAATGCCACTATTGTTCAGTACATTATTGGAATTAGTTAGTTGTTCAATACATTATCAGACTAAAAACAACTAACTTATTCCGATAATGTACTGAACAACAATGGCATTAAAGTATCCAAGGCTCCAAGCAACGTCATTAGCTTATCAGATACCCACGTCTTCAGATTGCTCTCGCTCCCCATTTTTACTGCGTTGAACAACACAGTCGTTCTCAAAACAACGGCAAAACATTAAATTCGGAAAAAATCGAAAATAGAGCATGAAATTTGGTGCCAATTTAACTAATTCAAGCTGCCTAAGCTAAAAAGCAATTAAATTTCAATGGAATTATCGAAAATTGAAACAAAAAAAATCACATGGGAACCCTAAGTATTGTTTTTTGTTAGAGATTTTGAATCAATTGAGAGAACTCACCTAAGGGAAACAAATAATTTCTGGCGTTGGTTTGCTTGGCTCAGAAAGGGATGGATTTTATATAAGAATGATCTACAGAAATCGCACGTGTGGTAATAGTAGGGCTGTGTAGAGAGTGCGGTTGATTCCGATACCACCGTAAATGGATGGAGTTGCACTATTCGCCTAGCGTTCAAAACACCGTCATGGCGGCAACAAAAAAAAAAAAGAATTAGAAAAGTGCGGGCTTATAAGAGGTTGGGTCAGGAGAAAAAAAGTGCAAAATTGCAAACCCACACGATATATAGGACGGGCTTTAGGCCTCAATAGTATTTACCTCAACTCCACTATGGGCCTTTGGAGTCCGTTATTATTTAACGATAGCTCTCATCACACAATTTCATTCAATTTTCCGTCAAAATTTATTAAACTTAATTTTTGTCGATAATGAGTTTGATACTAAATTAATGATGAAAATGATGAGTTCGGATAACAAAGATGAAAATGATGACTTTGGATAACAGAGACGAAAATGATAAGTTCAGGATAACAAGAACGAAAATGATGAGTTTGAAGAACAAGGATGAAAATAATGAGTTCTGAAAAACAGGGACGGAAATTATGAGTTCATAATAACAAATACACACATATATAGGCGTTGGGAGAAAGAGATTGAGAGAGAAATTGCCTTCAATTTGGAGTTGCGGAGGCCAACAATGCCAGTGGATCGCCGCATGGCGGCACGGCTAGCTTTTGAATCCGCGTTTTTGTTGGTAGCGCAACCCATCTCGTCGTCACCAAATTAATCCACAAATTCCCCCCCCCCCCAAAAAAAAAATTTATTTATTTATATACGTATGTATATAAATTCTCTGAATTTTCCTCTCTGCGCGGAGAATTTCGTCTCTGAAAATTCAAAGGGTAGTGAGAGAAATGAGATTTGTGTAGAAAGGTTTAGGTGGGGGGTTTAAGCTCAAAGTTATGGAGGCCCAAAAAACGAAGCAATCGTCGTTTTCAACGACTTGTTTTTCCTTTTTCTGGTACCAGAAAACTGCGTGTTTTTCCTACATGGCTTATGTTGATTGGGGGTTCGATTGGTTAGTGTGGTTTTTACTGCAGGGGATCAGGACTTCTGCTCTTTGGAATGTTTGGCACTTTTGGGGCGGAATTCGAGCGAGTTTTTAGAACGGACTTTGGATCGGACTGTTTAGATCAAACGAATTTGGAGTTTTGGGCTTTGGATACCGGATTGGGCTTGGAGTTTTAAAAAATTTTAAGATTTTTATCACAAATAATTTTTGAAATTAACCTATTCCATCAACATGATTCTTAAAATTGAAAATCAATCAATATAATATCTGAAAATAGGCGTTTCAAATCAATGTGATTATTCCGTCATAATTCCATTAAAAATTCTGTTATGTGCTAATATGTCATATAACTGGATCCTATAAGTTTAATTAAATATTGTCACAGGAATTAAAAGTATTTAAATATTAAATAATAATTTTATTTTTGAATAATTAAATATTGCCACAAGGCCCATCGTCGTGATTTTCCCGCTGCTGCACTTCCCGATCAGTCTCCGACCGAATCGTCGTGTAATGTCGAACCGTGTAACATGTCTCGAAACGGGCGGTTCAGATGGTGTTGTCATTTTCTCTTTCTGTGTATTTTTTACCCTCTCTGTCTCTGTCATCTCTCTCTCAGCTTTAGTTCCCATACCCTCTCTGAGGAATCAAATGCTTTTGGAACTCTATTTCTACCTTGTTCTTTCTTCTTTGGCACCCTGTTCAAATCATCAATTCCATCAGTTCCTGGTTCATTGGTAACTATTCAACCTTCGTTCACATCGGTAGCAGAAGAAATTCCGTTTCTTTATGCACCCCTCCTACGAGAATCATGAATTCCAGCTCAGCTTCATCCCCGCTGCTCAAGACAACAGAGGATGAAGAGTTTGCAAGTTTAGTAAAGAGAATGTTAGAAAAGAGTAAATATCATGGATAATCTTTCAATGGAATTGGAATCGGCCGCTGGCTCTTTATCCCGTATGGAAGTGGAAGAGTTCCAAGATCATCACCTTTTTTTTTTTTTTAATTGATTTTTTTTTTAGTTTTTAATTTTTCAAAAATAAAATTATTTTTAATTATTTAAATATTTTTAATCCACGTGACAATATTTAATTAGACTTGTGAGACCTAGTTATGTGCCGCCCAGCACATAAAATAATTTTTAACAGAATTGTGACGGAATGATCACATTGATTTGCAACATCTATTTTCAGTGACTACATTAATGGTTTTTCAATTTTAGAAACTACCTTAATGGAATGAGTCAATTTTTAAAACTATTTACGATAAAAACCCTAAATTTTTTAAAACTCCAAGCCCAATCCGATATCCAAAGCCCAAAACTCCAAATTCGTTTGATCTAAAAAGTCTGATCCAACGCGGTTCAAAAAACTCGCGCGAAGTCCGCCCCAAAAGCACCAAACATTCCAAAGAGCAAACGTCCTAATCCCCTGCAGTAAAGCCACACTAACCAATCGACCCCCAATCAACATAAGCCACGTAGGAAAAAGATGCGGTTTTCCGGTCCTAGAAAAAGGAAAAACAAGTCGTTGAAAACGACGACTGCCTCATCTTCTTGGCCTCCATAGGTTGGAGCTTCACCCCCACCTAAACCTCTTTGCACAAATCTCATTTCTCTCACTACCCTTTGAATTTCAAAGACGAAACAGAGAGGAAAATTCAGAGAATTTATATACATATGTATATAAATAAATAAATATTTTTTTTTCGAATTTTGTTTTTTGTTTTTGTATTTTTTGGGAAATTTTGTGGAGTAATTTGGTGGGGACGAGATGGGTTGCGGCAAAAACGCGGATTCAAAAACGAGCCGGGCCGCCAGTGGCGATCGACCGGCATTGTTGGCCTCTGTGACTCCAAATTGAAGGCAATTTCTCTCTCAATCCCTGTCTCCCAACGTCTATATATGTGTGTATGTATATATCTTTGTGTGTGTATTGGTTGTATTTATTAGGATGGTTGATTGAAAATTTGGTTATTTTTTGGATAATTGTTGTGGAGTTGGATAATTGGGTGTGAGATATTGGGGAGGTGGGTGGAATTAATTGATTAGTTTTGATGAAGTTGTTTCATTTGGTAGCTGCTGATAATTTACATTTTCCTGGTTTGTGATTATAAATTAAATATGAGTATCGCGATAAAGTTAAAATCTTTTTTTAAGGGTTCTG